GCTGGGGAACTGGCAGCATTTAATTCATAGAACCTTTGCACAAATCAATAACAATTATGATTTTTTCTCATTAAATAATCAATTATCCTTGAATTGTTTTTCTTCCTAACTTTTTTTCAAGTTAACAGGAAATTCCTGAACATGAGCTATCTCATAGCAAATAATTAGTTAAATCCTGAATTAGTATAACTTATTTTAAGTAGTTTGAAAATATATGGAAAAAGTGAGGATTAACTTTCCTTTCACCAGATGATACTTCTTATGCCTATTATTTATGTGTATAGCAAATCCAAATATACAGCCAAGGTCTGTGGCTAACTCTCCCCACATAATAGTGTAAAGTCAGGAATGTGGGACCAGACCATAGATCCTGCTCCTGTGGTGCACAGAGGTCATAAAATGGGCTTAATGAGTTGATGGGAGGCCCATCTAAAGATTCCCGACACACTGTGAGCCTTCTGCTATTTAGGTATGTTGGGAGCATAACCAGAGGGGGAGCGGCTGGAGAACCACAGAACTCTAATAATCCTCAGCTGGTGTAGTGTCCTGCTAGCACAAGTTAGAATAGTCCTGAGGCTTTTAAAACTTGTTCTCTGAGCTGAACTGACCCCATGCCAGCCTTTGGATCAGGAGAACATAAAAGTATTATACAGGAGAACTTGGCTGGACCAAGGATCAAGCTCAGTGTTTCTAAGTTTTTCTTTCTCAAATATACTACTTTTAGATGTCCACTTAAAAATCACTATATTTGGGAATTCAGAATTAGAGTCAAGTTCAGACTCATGTAGTCCATTCTTCCCATTAATTTTGCTGTAATATTCACCACTCTAGCATGTAGGCACTGTAGTTCAGCTGTAATCAATGGAGATATACCAACACTGAACTAGGTCCTTCAAGTACTAGGAAAAATATACTATTAAGCAACATTACAATGCTAGGGCAGATTTCACTGGATGTTCTATGATAATTTTGCATTAATTCAAGAATTGACATGAATTTTTCTTTTCTAACTTACTGCATACCTTAGTAAAACTGCTTTCTGCACTGATCTTTTATAAACAGAATGATATAAAAGGGTCTTCACTTACTCATTGTATGTGTCATTTTGTGGGGGAAACAAGGACAGCTGCTGAAGTTTAGGAAATATTAGATGTGAAATATTTCATATTGGAAACAGCAGTATTTCTGCTGAACTGATAATTTGTATCTGTTTTAGATTTTTCATAAACATGATAACCATTTCTACATCTATCTTAAGAATACTTTTTGTTGATTACAGTGTGAAAAAGACAGAATAATTGTGTATGGACAATGATAAAGTAGCCGGTTTATAATAAATATTTGTCAGGTCTTGTCACATCTGCACAAATTCCACTGTTACTGAAGAGACACCACACTGATAAAAAAGAGTTTAGAAAATCAATGGATCTTGAGCTAAAGCAGTTGCTAAACATACAGAAAACATCTATATCCAACAGCCGCAGGGCTGTGAAAATTCCCAAGCCTTGCATCGGTATAGCTAAGGAAAATTTAATCTTCCCAAATACTCATCAGAGCACTCCATCCTGCAGACCTGACAGCCCCACTTATAATTAATTATACAATTTCGATGGGAATATCGACTAAACAAAGCTATAAATCATAGAAAAAGTCAATAGGCATGGACACATTCAATCATGTCCCGACCAATGATTACTACTCTTAAAATACAATAATTATTTTCAGGAGCCAGCTTGAATTAAATTTCTGTCAGACTGGTACAAGACCGCTGGTTGATGAAGGATGCGATGGATTTTTTTGGTTGAATTCGGCATAGGAACATTTATCCTTTTAGATAGGTAGTTTGTTTTTAGTGATCATGGTGCTGTGTGTTTAACTAGACCATGAAGATTAGATTATCTCCAATGGCTCATTATATCGTTTATCTTTTTCCTTCCATGCTTGATCTGGAAGATTTTCTGCTTCTTGGTGCGTGAATGAAATGGCAGCTGATTTTGAAATGTAATATGTTAAAGTAGATGTCTGCATATTACTTTGTATACAAACCCATGTGTGGGCATTTTGTCCATGTATGTGAAATTGTCCAAACTGTCATTTGAAATGCCACTGATATATTGTGAATTGCAATGAAGAGAAGTGACTTTGTTCAGTAGATAAAGCTGTACTGAAAGAATACAATTATAAACTTTTAAGTTGATAATAAAAAAGTTAAGAGAAATAAAACAGATAAATATAGAAGGACAAGTTGTCATTGCTGTCTGTCAAATGGAATTGGAAAGAGGGCATGGAATTTTTAATTTATTTATATAAATATATATAAATAAACATTTATATAAACAGCTGTATCACAGCACTGATTGGACCAAATGTTTCAAAATGAGAAAAACATCAGCATAGGAAGATAGTTAATGTCCATTTTCTATTCATAGTACTATATTTAGACAAAAAAGGCAACTTACCTATGATTTTTGAGCTATTGTGTCAAAGCTGGTCCCAATCGCATAGGCACACCATAAATGTAGACATTGAAAAGAACTATTTATTTTTAAAATATTGTATAGCCACAAACTTACCGCAGTGCCATTGTTGTCTCTAAAGACATCTTGATTAAAATAGTCAAAGAGCTTCTTTTCTAACTGTAACATAACCTGAGAAAGTAAAGCATAAAAAAAATCAGTATAGAACTTATAGGCTATGGTCATTACATATGAGCTGGGCAGTCAGTGATGCTCAACTTATAACTTCAGACCTTTAAAAATAATTTTCTATATCTCTAAATCTCTTTATTTAATCTTGTTAGCTGTTTGCCAGTCAACCAAAGAGAGAGGAGATAAAGAAACAGTACTAAAGAGTGTAAACATGTATATTCTCACATTAAATGATGATGAATAAGTCTTATTTTTTCAGGGCTACATAAAGTGTCTCTCGGAAAAGAATACATCCTACCAAAAATTCGCTTTCATCACAAATCAGTAATTCATATCTAGAAGGTCTAATCTTGCAAGATGATGCTCATCACATCACCATAAAGGATCAGGTGTTAAATTATCCAACTCTACATTTTGTAACTAAATTTTTGGAGCTAAGTTCGTCCCTGAGAAGTGACGTCCAGAAATTACAGACAGAATTAAATGCAGCCTTTAATGTTTGCAAATCTGAAAAGGAAACGTTCAACAACCTTCTTCAATAAGTCTATATTCTGTTACATACCTTTCGGTCATTATCAGATTCACGGAATATTAGCTTGACTACTTCATTTGTGTCAGCTGCTCGGATAGTCTGCATTGTAGACTTTGTACAAAGTGTCTAATAAAAAAGAAAGCAAGAGATAATTTTAAAAGAAAGATGAACCCGCCATTTTGTAGACCTTCTCAATCAATGAACATTAAGGGCTTGATTCAATTCTCAGTGAAAAGCATGTTTTTGCTGAAGGTCAATTTTAAATACAAAACACTATTAATTGAATGTGTTTCAATTGACTAAAAATCTAATTAATGAGCTATATTAATATTCTGAGACAAGCTGACAAAAGTAAGACAATCTTTCTTAAAGCAAACATTAACTTCTTAACTCATTGCACTGTACATTTTTACTTTAAAAGGTTTGACCATATAACATGGTCTAGCATCACATATTATTTGTGACCATCCTCATCATTCATTGTTTTACAGATCATTTTCTTAAAAAAGATTGTAAAATGAATTGATTGAACATCAAGCTCATAGACCACCCAGGATACATGCGGCAATTTAGGAGCCCCTGATAAACTGTTGTAAGTGCTCCCCCTAAGTTTCAAGCTCAAATGTAGTTTCAATCTATAAACATAAACAAAGCTTTTATAACTTTACAACTGGTTGCAGGGGCTAAGTCCGTTGGACAAGTAAATACTCTTATAATAACCACCCTCCTCAACAAGTCACTATACTGTATGCCTAAATATTTTGTGGGTTTTGGGATAAAATATAGTGTAACATAATTTGTATCTAGGTTCAACAGTATGAATTTCAGTCAGAGTACCAGGCTTGTCTTTGATTTCTCCTCTAGTTGTCTAGTTATAGACTAGCTTTAATGTTATAAAATGTTGTGTATTAACTAGATTTAGGTATGCCAACTGTGAAACAGACTTATCTGTTGCATTCAATTACCAAATCCTCCAGATTTCCATCTGTAAAGCACTTAAATATATGTTTAAATTTAAGCATATGTTTAAATTCTACTGATGTTAAGCAAATGGGTAAATGTTATGATAGACAGGCAGACCGCTGACTCTGGGCCCAGATATGTTACAGGTATAGGAAAGCTGATGGGAAATTAGGGATGTTAAGTGCATTTAATTAAGTAACCGTGTAACCATTGAAAAATTCAGCGGTTACGTGGTTACACATGGGGTGGCAGTCAGCTCCCTGGGAGCTGGTGCATGCAGGGAGCTGGCCTCTCGAAAGAGGAATGGCACATATCAGCTCCTGCCTGCCCCTTAGCTCCCTGTGTTGCTGCCTATACAGATGCAGCAGTGCAGGGCAGTAGGCAGCTTGCTGGGAGCCGGTGCGTGCTGGGATCCAGTTTTTAAGCCAGTTCCATACATGTACTAGTAGCCTGTATATAACTGTGAACTTTAACAGAATAGCCCAGGCTCATAGATTACCCGTGTACATGGTTATATTTGCACATCCCTATGGGTAAGGTCTTCTTGAATAGAGGTTTATTTTGGGAGTGTTTCTTTACTGAATAGTGCACAAGACAGGAATGAAAGTAAGAACAAAGAAAATGGAGATTTATTTGCAGTGCATTTTTATTCTTTCATGCTGTCCAGAAATTTGTTTTGGTTTTGCATAATATTTAATAACAAAATAAATGTTATGCTTCTATAGTTACTAAGGAACCTGAGACCCTAAAAGAATTTTGCAATCCCTAGTGAATTTATTTTCAAAATACCTGTGAGAGTTACAAATGTATCATTATCCCATTTCGTAAATGGCAAAGCAGAGGCTAAGACCAAATTCAGATGTGCCATAACATCCTCTGAAGCCACGGAGGAATCCATAATCCACAGGATTTCACCAATACCAGAACAGAATTTGCCTCTTATCTTGGCTAAAGTCACCTGGAAAATCTGTAGCAAAGTCTGAAATGGAATCTAATTTTTCTTTACTCACAAAGCCATTCATTCCAGCTATCATTTTACTTTATGATTCCCCCCCCTCCGATAAAATACATATATTGAACTTTTAAAATAAGTGCAATGTGTATTAGAAAAACTGTAATGGGATTTTTAGCATATGTGCAAAAATACTTATTCATTTATTTTTAAGAAGATACTGAACACCCGCAGTTCTTCTCAACAAATGTACTTACTAACAAAAATAACCAGACACATACTTGAATACCCCCAAAATGTTTTTTAACTGTTTATATAGTAGCTAGCACAATGAGCCCATGATCTTTGTCTGGATATGGCCTAACATACTATCATAATACCAATAAATAATAATAATAAACAAGGCATACAATTTCATTTTTAAAGGATGATGACTTCTGAATGTATCAGAAGAAAAACATAACATAAAATTGATTGCTCTCTTCAGTCTGATGAACTTAAAAAATTGCTAACTGATTTTCCCTTCTCATTTAGCTAAAAATATTTTCTCCTGAACTTCTTCCTTTGGATATTAATTTTTCATCCTTTGTAAACATTACTACACTAAATTACAAATCCCCGGCAAGAGAGACTCATATTGCATATTCTGGCACAAACATGATCTAGAGCAGCACAAACATTATTGATGGAATGTTTGAAAAACACATCTCACTAGAGGAAAAAGCCCTGTGCTTACAGTAATACTAAACAATCTTCCAAAATGGTGTTGGTAGTCAAAATTTTTCAGATAGTTTTTATTCGATGTATCAAGCTTCTGAAAATACAGGGAAGAAGTTATAACTAAACTGGTAAAGGTCATGCTGAGAGGCTGGAGAAAGAATGGCATGCCAAATCCTTCGGGAAGCTGCAGTTTTGATTTTATTTAATTTTTTAAACATAGACCTAATCACTATTTCCACACATCACCACAATTTACCTTAGATCCCATTTTGTCTCTTTTGACAAGTAATTAACATTTTGCCATCTGTGTCTGTATGCAGTTACCAATGAGGTAATCCAACAGTGAGCCATTCCCAAAGTGCACTCCCTCTGATACCAGCCATTGAAATTCAAAGCACAGATTAGCTAATCGGGTCAAGCCCAAAAAAATAGCCCTTTGGACTCATGTGTCACAAATCAGTCTGGTTGCCTTTAAACAGCGCACCAGATTAGAACAAGCACCCGAACAAACCAAAGCGGAAAACCCGCCGCTCTCTAAAGCTGGTTTCTAAAGCCCTAACAAATCGCTCCATCTTTCACTCATTTAAACTTTCCAAATGAGGGTCAATATGGTCCCCTAGCATCCAAATGCTAATGCGCTTAAGTGCGCTTAAGCAGCTTTCCAGAGTGAATGGGCCAAAGAAGGGCTCAAAAAGACAAGGCAGAGTTACTGTCACTGTCAAAAAGTCATTGTAGCCACCCCCAGAGTGGTTGCAATTCAAGAAATTCATGATTTCTGTCTCTTAAAGGCATCTGCTTGAGAACATTTTTTTTTCTGAGCTGCTTTATCTCACAACTTCAGGCTGCTCTAAAAGAATAAAAATCTGATCGACTCTTGAGAACCAATAACAAGAAAGGACCCACATACCTTATTGCTTTCAAATTTCACACACACAAAAAGTTACCTTATTCACAAACAAAAAGTGATTGGGCAAAGGTTCATTTCTTATACAAGCTGGAGCATTCCTTTTTTCCCCTCCTTTCAATTTCTACAAAGTCGTAGTCACCCAAGCAGAAAACTTTGAGGAACATGTGCCTTTTTAGCCAAGTCTACTTATGAAGGGATTTTTTGTTGTGGTTGAAAAAAAATCAAAATGCTATGAAAACATGCTGTTCTTTTCAATGTTGTTCTTTAAAGGCATCTTTTCAGATGATGGGAAACCAGATAGCAAATAGCCTCTATCACATTTTCTTCTTTAATTTCAGGCACTTGCTTTTCTTTTGCAAGTTAAATATTGTGCTTGCAAGAGAGTTACCACTCAATCTTCATCCTTTAGCTAGGATACAGACATACCTTATTCCAATTTTTATTTGGATTATTTACACAGGTACACACCTGTATGTTCTTCATAATAACTTATTTAAAAATACTTGTGACATTTATCTCTATAGAGTTGTAAAACACAGCTATAACTTTTCTGATGTAATCAATTTACTCAAAACTTACTGTATTTTACCACTGTGCAAAGTTATGAACTTACTTCTCTATGCCATTGCTCTGCAGTCTTCAGGAAATTAATCTCTTTCTTATTTGCAGAATAAATGAAACCTTTAACATTCTTATGATTAACTTTAATGCAGCACATTAAAATATTTGACAGTATTCTGAAGTGTCAAAACTATTTGGTTAGCAACAGAAACTCATATGTATATTGAAACATGACAACTCTTCTCTGATTATACAGAAAATACCATAAATCAGTAAAACTCATCATTTTTCCTCAGCGTAAAATCCTCTGCTGAAAACTGCAATATTGTTTTCTTTTATTTTGCAAATCTATTCTCTGGCCACCTTCTCGAATTCTATGTCAAACTCTGATATGTGATTTGATTCTTTTATTCATGCCTGTTCTTTCTTAAATTAAAAAGATTTTGAAAATATGTGTATGTCCAAACACATATGGATTCAAACTTTCCTGTTAACTCTGCCTACAGAATCTAACTATGCATATTATTCACCCCATGTGATTTAAATAATCTTCTTAGGAAACTTTCGTTTATTACTTATTAATTCCTCCCAAAATAAAATAATTGGAACATTTCCAGTATCTCCTTATAATGAAAAAGTTCCAGTAACAACTGCAAATACAATTCATAATAAATCACAGTAATTTTCAAGGAACCTTCATGGGTTTAGCAAAAGTGTTTCCTTTAGAAGTAGTAAGGCACAAAAGAGAAAAAGGGCTAAGACACTGAACCAACTAACATACTAGTAACCAAACCATCTTTTAAGATGCTAAATTTTATTTCAGTTAAATCTTTGGTAAATTTTGACAGGATGTAAGAGAGAGATACATCGCTCATCTCAATTAGGAAACAAATACTTTTAGCTACTTTTCCTGAAACAGCTCTTGAAAAACATCTGCCTGACACTTATTGAATTAGGGCAACCAAATGCTTTTTTATTATCACAAATCGCATTTGAAACAATTTGAGAGCTAGAGGACTTGCT